CATATACAACGCGGTTAGCTCGAGGCAAGAGTATCTCAACATTTACATTTGAATGAAAGGGATATGAATCGCCGTGACTGACAGGCAGCTCACACTACGCCTGTGTTCTGCGGGTTAACATATCGACCAGACGCGATTCGAATGTCTTTCTGGAAAATCTTTGCGTCTTATTGAACAGCAACGTTCGCACGTTGAAAGGGAATTCAGGATGCAAACAAAATATTACAACCACCCTAGTTTGTGTTTCGATGATCCCGGCTTCGACATATAACACGGAGATTGATAACTTCCACACGTCTATCATAATTTTCCTCATTATTCACTACTGACATATTCTATATGCTTTCTTCCTAACTTCAAAATCATAATGCGCTGCGAAACATAATTACATCATATTTATACGTCCAATTGCATATACTCTCAAGGTAGAGAACTTTACCTCATATTCAGCGCCTGTCATAAATGACAGAGTAATTCGACTTCCTTGTCGGCGAGCTCGCAACTAAAGTTGCGAAAACTGCACCTATGAATTACACCGACAGTTTCTGAATTACGTAAAATCTGACGCTGGGGACTTTTAATAAAGATAAATTCATGATTCTATTGAAATCTGGCAATAACTTGCCCTTAACACGCTTTTCAGCTGTGGGGAATTCCCTGACTTCCTAGTCTGTCATAGTTACCTTCGGTTGCGACTTTCAATAACAATAATTTAATCTATATTTATTTTTACAGTCCATACACAAACGTTGAAGTTAAATGATGCTGTTAAAATTATATAATATTAAAACATTATGTAGTATAAAATATTATATTTTGGCGCTTTTAATCGTAAATACGATTTTACATTATTTAGCGCTTTTTTATTTATTAAACGACATGTTTCGATGGATAATACCTCATCTTCAGGTTTATATCAATAATTTAACGTTCCAGCTTCATAAAACGTATTCGCCCCCGGATGTACACGCTTATAGATATTCAAAACCCTTCAAGATACGGGACTTTAGCGATAAAGAATATTTCTTACATTATTTTGCCTCAAATTGACCTTTAAAAATCAACATGAGCTATTAGAACCATGGACACAAAGTGGGTAGGTCTAGACACTTTCCTTCAGGGATTCAAAACAGTTACTTCCAGGGGCGACATCTGCCTGACTTTTGCAGCAGCTGAAGAAACACGTCGGAGAGATTTTATTCAATTTCCTGCCAACAAGAAGCTAAATCAGAAACAACGAGTCAGCGCAAATTACATTAATTCATTATGAAGTTAAATTTCACATTTTACAGTTCGTCAGTTCAACACAAATACGTGTTTTTCGTACGTCCATAGCGCGAATGCTCGAAAAACAAATGAATCAAGGATGTCTATGTCTCGTTGTTAAAACATGAAGTTCTTTGAACGATGAAGCTCCCTGTTCCTTGAATGGAACATCAGTCAAGTAAGATTTATGTTGTGAATCAAGCGGGCTTTCCCGAGCCTCGAGACAGACATTTCTTATTCTTACGGGGCACGGCCTCGCAATTGAATACCTTCCTCAAGCAACTCACAAACCAATCCGGGCCAGTAATTATTCATATGCACAAGACAGCTTGGCGTAAACAGAACATCTGGAAATTTCGGGTCATAAGCAGTCAGTGACGAGTTGCAGCATTCGTGCATATATTTATTCATGCAGCTTCCACAGTGGATTCACATGCCGTGACAATTTAACAAGTTAGGAAATGTACACATCGCGTTATAATTCTTAAACGTTCGTTCTGTTATTGTTTCTAGATTTTCAGTTCTTGAAACCCCCTAATAAGGAGTTGTGGACCGTCAGAACATGGCCACTGACCTCTATGAAGATCTGCAGCGAGTTGTCCGCATTCAGTGTGGTTCGGTGATGACGTAGTTGGGGGATTCCCCTGAACATTCCTCAGCGTGGTTGTGTGGGAGCCTACTGCGCGCAGAATGGCAACTTCGATTTTAACCAAAACTCGAATGTGTCCAAAAAGTTTAGTAAAACTTCTCAGTATTAAGTTTTATGAACTGTGGACAGACAGACAGGCATTTTGAAGCCAATAAGATCATTTTTCATAAATTTAGTTCCGAACACCAACACTGTTTAAACTTCAGATCTCGTAAATGTAATAATGTTCGCAAATTTCCGTCCTCTTGACTCGTCAGGTTAGAAGCGATTACAGCGTAATTTATATTTTTAAAATATTTCAATTTTGCTAACATGATGGGGGTCCTGAAGATGGTCGATACAACTATCACCAGATCATAATCCTTTGATTGTTACATTTCAGCAATTTTCTGCTACAATACCGTGCAGATTACAATAATATTATGCTGGTAGTTCAGTTATCTCTTTAATTAAGACGAAGTTGTCTTGAGACGCAGCGGGAGAGCTGACGTGCGGAGTAAATTAAATCACCACACCTTCATGTGACGATGTGTGGTGACAGAAATAAATTGTGCCTTGTTGGCCCGTCCCTACAATTACGTCGAAAAGAAAAAAAGAATATAAAAACAAAGGAATGTGTCTGCTAATCCAGTTTTAGTTACGACTAATAAAAACATTCGATTTTATCCGGGTTTTATTCAAATACACCGGCTCAAATAACTTTTGAGACGTTCTTATGTTAAAAGTGTATGTCTAACGATACCTGATATTTGGTACCTCAAACTGCACTGAAGAATATAAAACGTGGGTTTGTAATCCGTAAAAAAAAATTGTCAGTGGAACCACGGTTCCGGAGAATTTGATGTAAATACGTCTATACGGAAAGGAAGTTTATATATTGGCTTTATTCTAAATATTTCCTTTATACATGCTTTACAATTGAGTAAAGTTTGATTAAGATTTTGCTTATTTAACTTGAATTAGTTACGCTTAAGATGGGTCTGTGGTAGCTGAATGTAATGTAATGTAATGAAATGTTGTGTAATGTAAGGTAAGGTAAGGTAAGGTAATATTGTCGATTTGTTGATAAACAGATGAAGTTTCCTAGGTAACCATTGTTGTTTATTTGTTGATAATCCATTGTTACACTTTTTCCTTTCACCTTTTGCCGAATGACACTGACCCGAAAATATAGACGTATTTACGTCAAAAAATACATATTGATTCTATACGATAAATTATAAACTTGTTTTATTTATACGAAGAGATAGAATTGTAGTATTGTCATACTCGTGTGTCCGTCCGTCCTGGTAAGTTCTAAGCAACTGACAGATTTTCATGAGACCTTTTAATTTACTGTCGAGTTGAAGGGAGACTAAGTGCCTGTCGATCTGCGGCCTCTAAGGGGCACATTGTCCTTCTCCCAGATGACACACAAGTGAATACGGAGAAAGCTCTGGATTGACATAAACAGGGCAAAACCGAAGGATACGGAGAAGATGAAGAAACCCTGTCCCAGTATCTGCAGTGAGAAGCCTATTTATATAATACGAGTAAATAAAAATTCAAACATCTGAAAGGAAACAAGTGCTATAAGTTCTTCCCAAAACATGTTCTGTTAGCTTTTTTCATAGTGATAATTCTGACGATTGCAAAGCATAGAAGAATCAAATAGCATCACAACTCGACCACGCGAACAATTTCCTTCAGGGCTGTCTATACCTTGCGGAAAACAGCAAAAATTTCTTGTTTACTCAGTTTTATTACTTCTTTGCTCGTCTTCCAGAATCGGCCCAGAGTGGAGGAAAAACATATAAATTGTAAATAAATCGCGCGCGCATACACACAAACTGCAAAACTTAATATAAAGTTGGCGAAACCGTGCGATTTACATACTTAACTAGCCTGCGAGTAGAAGGAAAAACCACATATACTGCAAACGAAAGATATTATCGATATAAGAAATAAGACGGCGAGCTATGAAGTATTGCACCTGGGAAATAGTTTTTTCGTGCGGAATGTCTGAGTGTCCTTATCTACCACCCCTGACCCCATTAACCTTTTAATTATAACGGATATCGAGCGCACAGATTCGCCCCGACTACAGTACTACTAACGGACACACGAGACGAACGGATCTTGCCATAATAATTGGGAAATGAGAAATGTATACGAAATTACAGATGGTGAACCTGAACGAAAGACATCACTTGGGAGATTTATACATAGACGAGAGAATATTAATAAAAAGCGTATTTTAAATCAGAAATACAGTTTGAATATGTGGGCTGGATTCATTTGGATCACGACAGAATCCAGTTAACGGTACTTATGAACACGGAAATGGACTTTATGATTCCATAAATAGTGGGGACTGATTCTGATTATCGAATTAGTTAGATATAATACGTTTATGAGGTAGCAAAAGGCCATAACCATACACAAGGCCATAGTAAAAAATGAGAAATTAGGATACGGAAGTAGACCTATATTTTTCATAGCGTAGGTTTGATTAAACTGAATGGCAGACGAATACATTAAGGAAACCTTGGAAGTAAGACCAGCCATGAACACATGGCCACTTAGTCTGACCTAATACCAAGGTTTGTAGCATTGATGCTAGCAATATATTTAAGCAGACCTTAGATTTGTAACTCCCTGATCAATTTAATTTCACCTACGAACTGCGTCCATACAAGCGAGGACCTTAAGTGTACATAATTTATGGTCAGTCTTTAATGCTATGAAATCATTTTTGTACTAGGAGTGGCTTCATTAGGCTACTACTGTTCTTCATTCACCTTCGAGGAAACTTGTTCTAGAACCCTCAGCAGAAAACTGGCGTCCTTTTCATTTCATTCAATGACCTTGTCTTCCTGTGAGTCTGTTTAAACCCAGAACGCATCATCGCCGTTACTAATAGGCCATCTTAAAATAATTCTGTTCCTAATAAAAGAAATATGAATAATTTTTCAAATACTGCATAGAACAAAAATTATGACTGGACAAATCAGCTTTCCCACGGAAGAGGCTAACAGAAGTCACGGTTATCCTCCGTACATCGCAGTCGGGTGAAATTAACTCCACTGTGTTTTGCGTGTTGCAGAGTCTACGCCTAGTTCGTCGGGGTGTCCTGCCCTGGGAGGACTCAATCACGGGACCGTAGCCCTGCACCTGACGAGAGCCAGCGGGTTTCCAGAAGCCCGCTTCTACTGTGCCGCGGGTTACAGGCTCCAAGGGAGTGCTACGTCCGTCTGCGTTCACGGGCGATGGAGCCACTCCCTGCCCATCTGCGTCCCTTCCCAAGGTAAGGAGATGCCAGTACAGCATCCTACAGGGTAGACCATTATCGGGAGTACAACGTAAGCAATTTTGGAGATGGATCCTACTTCTGTTTGTCATTAATAAAACTCGCCTTAGTGTCTCTTAAGAAAATAATCATACAAAATACATGAATCCAAAATTAAGAGTTACTAACTTTTGAAACAGTGGCAGGTTTTTACAGGATTAATACGATCAGTAGATGGCAGGTGTTCGGAAAATCCCTTTCTACGTTATGCGGGTCAGACCTTTCTACCGACGAGTAATGCCAAGAGACTAACGTTTCCCTTGTACACATGGAGCTTTAACTTAAAGTTTCCCCAAATTTACCAAATACTCCTTAGTATATGACATTTTTAATGTTAATCACGAAAACTGAGGCCAAAAAATATGACTGGAGAAATCAGCTTTCCCACGGAAGAGGCTAACAGAAGTCACGGTTATCCTCCGTACATCGCAGTCGGGTGAAATTAACTCCACTGTGTTTTGCGTGTTGCAGAGTCTACGCCTAGTTCGTCGGGGTGTACTGCCCTGGGAGGACTCAATCACGGGACCGTAGCCCTGCACCTGACGAGAGCCAGCGGGTTTCCAGAAGCCCGCTTCTACTGTGCCGCGGGTTACAGGCTCCAAGGAAGTGCTACGTCCGTCTGCGTTCACGGGCGATGGAGCCACTCCCTGCCCATCTGCGTCCCTTCCCAAGGTAAGGAGATGCCAGTACAGCATCCTACAGGGTAGACCATTATCGGGAGTACAACGTAAGCAATTTTGGAGATGGATCCTACTTCTGTTTGTCATTAATAAAACTCGCCTTAGTGTCTGATGCTTGTAACGCGTTTCAAAATCTCAAACGAATAGTCAGTTACCATTATCACACCAAAATACTTTTGAACTGCCGATATATTTTTAAATGTTTCTAAGATATATCTATCAAACACAACAGTTTCGTTCTTCAACTTTCTCCGTGTTCTCGTATCCTCTGGGCCATCAACATCACCTTCGCTACCTGGCGTTTAATTTGGCCGCAACTTGTAGTGACTGCCTTCAAGACCGTAACAAAAGAAGGCTGCAGCCCTTCGTCGTATCTGATGCGGCATTGTCCCTGAACAATCAAGCTGGCCGTTTTTTATATGTTTCGTCCTTCCTAAAAGACATTTTTATTAATTATCGGTTGGATGGAGACCGGCAAACAGCGGCATAATGCCGGATAAATTAACCATCCCTTCGAAAACCGCAGTTCATTTAAATAAAATTGGTAAGATTTAATCGATTTATTTTATTTAGTGTTCTGTCTGACGACAGGTCCATATGAACAGGATCCTTCCATCCTTTTCTCGGACTGGGACCTGTTCATATACGTTCTTGGCAGATGATCCAGAAGGGGTTTGCCATTGCCTTCTTCTGTGTGAGTGTGAATGGAGTAATTGTTGGGATGCAACGGAGGAAAACTCCGTGTTGCCTAAACCACGGCCTTGCCCAACACAAGTTAGAAATT